CAGTAACCGAATTTTCTCACTAATAACCTTTCCTCTACCCATTTTGTAAACCTTAACTATCCAAAACTATTTTAAACGTATTCTGACAGCTGTGATTAATAAAAACAATTGTCATGGCTTTTATTTTACACAGCCACCTAGGCGTTATAGACTTATTTTGCATTGAAATGAAAATAGGTTGATATGCTGTAATTGCAACATGTGTTATTTGATGCAAATTTGATTAGGGAGTGATAAAGTAGGTGTTTTCTACTATATATTATCAAAATATTCATTGTTAATGTTTTAAACCTATAACACCCTGCTACATTTTTATTATTTGTGTTTGATAAGAAAAAAACTAAGATTTCAATAGTTGGGCCAACTGAAGTGGGAAGGGGCTCGTAGATTACAAGAGTGGAACTTATTGGCTTTTAACACAAAAGTAACTGTGCAACGGAAACGTAATAAAGAAATAGCTCAAATTTTGAAAACATTTGTTACTGTAACGACATAAAAACCTTGATGAGTGAGTTGAACATTCCTTGTAACACAAGACTGGCGTTTATTTATTGATGGTTCTAAAATAAGTCTGAAGGCGGTATTGTTACACAATGGCAACAAGTATCAATCAGTACCAACAGCATATTCTTCTGTTCTAAAGGAAACATATGAAACTATGAAATCATTACTAGATTTAATAAAATACGAAGATTTTACCTGGAAAGTATGTGCTGATCTCAAAGTTATAGCTATTTTACTCGGACTACAGGGTGGATTTACTAAATACTGTTGTTTTCTTTGTATGTGGGACAGCAGAGCCACTGAAGAGCACTACACTACAAATCCCACCCCAATAGATCCCAAAAATGTCATTTTATCACCACTTCACATAAAACCTGGCTTGATGAAGAATTTTGTCAAGGCTATAAATAAGGAGGGACATGGTTTTTTATATTTAAAAACAGTATTTCCAAAGTTAAGTGTCGCCAAACTCAAGGAAGGGATATTCGTGGGACCACAAATACGCACACTGATGAATAACTCAAATTTCGACAAACAGCTTGCTGACACGGAACTTTATGTCTGGTTATCACTGAAAGCAGTTGTAAAAGGGTTTTTAGGGAACCACAGAGCCAGAAATGCGGAATAGCTTGTTGACATGTTAAAGGCATACGAAAAATTGGTTTGTAGAATGTCGTTAAAAATGCACTTCCTCCATTCCCACTTTTCGTTTTTTCCATCTAATCTTGGTGCTGTCAATGATGAGCACGGTGAGAGGTTCCACTAGGATCTAAAGAAGCTTGAAGAGCGATTTTAAGGCCGTTGGAGCACAACTATGCTGGGCGATTACTGTTGGCGTTTAAAACGACAAGATTCTACAAAGCACAAACGAAAAAGTTAGAATTTAGGAATATTCTGGATTTACATTGTATGAATTTAGTTCTATTGTATTTTTTATACATATATGATGAAAATAAAAAAAATATAAATTAAAATCTTACATTATTTTTTTAAAATATGTCTGGTTCCTGCAATTTTCAGTATAATTTGACACACACCTAGGGATGAAAAATGAAATGTAATGGAAAGAAAATATGTATATACTTTTAGTAAACGGCAGCAACAAATAAGAAAGCATGACAATTCAAAGCAGGTACTTAATTTTTGTTTTCATTTGTAACGCAGTGAAATTAGTGGTAATCTGCTACCATAAGCAACAGCACCCCATATCATAACTCCCATGGTGTGGTGAACGTGACCCTCTGTGTCAAATTGTGGGCCACGTCTTTCACCACGTCGCCTTCTCGCTCTTGCCCGACAATCGTGCATCCCCAAACAGGTGTGAGCTTTATAACTAAAGACCATCTGATTCCATTCCTGGTCCCATACAATTCTTTCTCTACACCAGAGCAAACGGTTACGCCGATGTTCAGCTGTGAGAGGTGGTACCCAATGTGGGCGATAAGAAAAAAGGCCAAACTGTCGTATTCGGCGATATACCGTACGCCTAACAACCATCCTTCCATGCTAATCAAACCACTGATTAGCTACACAAAATTTAACATTTAACTGACACCGTAAAAGTTGAAAAACTAAATTCTTCTTTATCACCAAACAATACAAGCAGTAACTACAAAAACTCAATAGAAAAACATGACCATTTTATCACTTGCTGATCATGGTAAGATAAATGGATATGTGGAAAATTCTTGAATTCTAATAAACATACGTAGGTGCTTACCTTTCTTTGTCACTCAGTATATCTACAATTAAAGGGAATAGGATCATAATTATGCAACAACAAAAAAATCCATCCTTGGGCACATCCGCGTTGACATTATGAAGCAGAATGGTGACATATCGATTAGGAAGAATGATTTACGATTACAGACAAGCTACCCATATGCTATGTCAAGAATATGGCATGATAATCAACACTTCCAACTCATAGCATTTCAATGGGTTATACCTTCCTAAGCAAAGTTGTATTTCAATAGCTGAAGTAGATTGTTTACATTCATCTTTACATGATCATACACTTTATCCTCGCAGAATAAAGGCTTTTTTCATATCTAGTGGCCAATTATTGAAATGAAGGAGTAGAATAACTGAGAGAAAGTAGGCGTGGTTCTATTAAAAAAGTGTGTGAGTTTCACCGTGGTTGGATGGATGCATTCACAAACTCGTTTGAAAAATGTCAACAACTGCCAGAATTTCCTCAGGTAAAATCTCGCTCTTCAAGAGCGTTCCAGTATTGCCCCCCTGGTGTTTACCTTATCTCCATGGCAGAGAGGTAATATTCTAAAAACATTATTACTTAGCAGCTTTAATATGGAATTTTCCGTTTGATCTCATGTTTGTTCATTGAAAAAAGAAGAAATACTCAGCATAAAATTTTTGGACGAGAATTATTCATACTTGGTGGAAGCTAAAGAGCGGCCCGTTTGGATCCGATGCATTTTAAATGGCTATATACTACAAATATTTAAGCTAGAAGAGGCAAACAAACTTTAAAATTCACAGTTGCAATGAATTTTTCTCCAAATAGTTTCAAGTTACGTATGAAAAACAACTTTGTTTGGTGCTTCCCATGTCCATCAGAAATTTGTTGCTGTATGTGCAGTGGCTCCACCATATTGTGTTGGTATAGTATCCATATTCTTTAAGTTATGAAATCAGAAATTCTTCCTAGTGACTTAACCCTGTAAATTCACACCTCGCCAGACCTTACGGTAAGTGATTATTCTTTTAGAGCGGGTTATAGGAATAAGCTCCGTATGATTCAGAGGTTGGAGACAACAATTAAGAATGGCATTGCTGCAATTCCAGTTGACATGCTGTACAATTTTGGAGGACGATCCATTCTCCATAGATACGCCTCTGGTGATGGCCAGCAAGCTCGGAGCGAGCGCTAAAATAACACCCCGTTTTTGATTGATGTGTAATTTTCGGGTCTTTGTGGCCACTGTCGATTCCCGTCCATCGCCATTTCTGGACGCTCACACACACACACACAATTTTATTATTGATTGGTTATTGCAGTGCAGCTCTGCTGATCATGATTGCAGTTTGCACCAGCTAACATATGTCACGGTCATTTCGGAACTCGTCGGTATGCCCGTATTACGATACCAGGTTTTATGCTTCCATTTTACCTCCCAGTTTCCACGCGTATGCGAGGGGGACATCGAGAGCGGTAAATCGGCGATGCAGCACTTTTATGCTGAATAGCAGTAGCCGTGAGATAGCTTCGATAACACTTAGCCTACAAACTATCAAATCTAACAGACAAGTGGAAACTGCTGACAAACTGACAAGGATATCTCATGACTACTCCTAATCATAATAAAAGCGCTATAACGCTGTGCCGCTCTACGTTGTCTGAACGCGCTCATTGTTATTGCGCATTTTGAGAAATCACACGGAGACTCGGTAGCTCGATGATTAGCGCGTCGAGCTTGCAATCCGGGACTCGCGAGTTCGAATCTCCGCATCGGCACCAGTATTACGTATCTTGGAAAGTGACATTATGTCGATTTTTTTTGACATTGTATCGATTTTTTGTGACATTATGCAGGTTTTTCTACAAGATGTTAACTTAGCACTAGCTGATGGACACGTTGGGAACTCGTTTGGATCTGATGGGATGTAGAATCTGCTTCAGAGATGGCATTACTGGAGGTCTAATCTGTTGTATACTACTCTAAGAGGAAAGAGCAATTAATTGGCGTATAGTGAGTATTTGTGTGCTAATAGTATGTGTTGATGATAATTTCATTTGATTCTTATCTCAAACACACTAACCTGAGATTCAAAGCTAGAAATTAGTTGCGCACTTTTTCTTATTCATTCTGGAAATTACATATGCAAATTTGCTGAATTTCAAAAATGAGAGAGATAAGACATGATTATATTCATTGTACACTGTCGAATTACAAGTCATATACATGCTAACAGTAATTATACACAACGCGGGCACGGTGTTGATTTCCCGTAAGTCTCCTCAAAGTTTTTGAGAACAAAAACAAACGTAAAAATCGTAATTTATAGCTTTGAACATAACCTGTCTTCAGAAAGGACAACATATAAATAACTCATCGGGCGCAGCTAATAGATGTACTTCATGGGAAGCATGTTCAGTAATGATTTTCTCACACAGCAAATATCACTGATTTTATACGCATGGAGACTAAAACACATAATCATCCAGATGCGATCTTGCTGTTCAACCAACTTTCTTCTCAGAGATGAAAACAACAGACTACTCGGCTTCACAAAACATCAGTGTGAGGTCGCAAGTGACCAGGTGAAATGTATAAATTGTGTAAGTTATGGTTCTAAGTCTAAGTCACACGTCCAAGTTAACCATGCTGCAAATGATTCTCATTGTCCGGCTTATATAAATTATGTGCACAATTTGATTTGATTAGCAACTCTAGTTGATCGACTCTTCTTTTGTACATATATTTCCTTAATTTTTAACTTTTTATTATTTTTGTTAATACTCCTGAATCCATATGGAACCTGTTAGTATTACGAAGAAGTGCAAAATAGGTCACCTAAATATAAGATCTCTGATGTCAAGCTTTGACGCATTTACGGACATGATGAATGAGGATGATTTTGACATTCTTGCTCTAACGGAAACATGGTTAAGCCCTGATATCACAATGGATGTAGTTAACATCAGAAATTTCAACTTTTTTCGCAAGGACAGGTTGTCTCGTGGTGGTGGTTGTGGTGTTTATATTAGACAAGACATACGTGCTGAGATTATTGATGATGACGTCACGCTAAACACAGTTCCGTTTTTAGAGTAGCTATGGGTAAAATTAAGGATTGATCAGCATGATTTTGCTGTAGTTATATTATATCGTCCCCCTTCACAAAGGCTAGTTGATTGTACAAATGACAAATTAGACAATATAATGCCTAATGTACTGAGTAATTTTAAAAATATTATTATCCTTGGTGATTTAAATGTAAATTTAGTTGCCGATAATACCTTACAACAATATTTGGATATGTATGGTTTCAAGCAAATTATTGATGCTCCCACTAGAGTAACTAATAGTACAGCAACTCTTATGGACCCTATTTTTATTAATACCCCAATTACTGTCACTAACTGGTTTACTTTAGATGCTAATTTGTTGTCCGATCATAAAATTGTTTGCTGTATCTTAAACATATCCCGTGTGACATGAACATGAACAAAAAATGATCACCTTCAGAGATTTCTCACACTTTGATGAGCAATCTTTCATTGATGACCTGGCTAGAGTAAATTTTATTGAAATGTGTTATATGAGGAATATTGATGATAAAGTTCAATTTTTCAGTAGCAAGTTAATTGACATCTTCAATCGTCACTCTCCTTTAAGGACGGTACACGTGAGTAAGCCGAAAGCGCCGTGGTTGTCATATCCGTTGAGACAGCTTCTGAAGCAAAAAACGAGAGCATATTATTTATACAAGATGGACAGAAGTCCAGCAAGATTGCAGGTTTTTAGGGAACTTAGAAACCTTGCACTATCGTGCATTAGACATGAAAAAATGGCGTATCTTGCTCACTTGGAAAAAGGGCGTGATCAGAAAAAATTGTGGTATGAATTGAAAAGTATGAAAGCACAAACATCTGGTAAGCCACGTATTCCAAACCATCTTGCAGACTCGTTCCTTTCAAATAATTATTTCATATCAGTTTTTGATTCCACAAATGCTCCTGATCACGTTTTATAACGAAAATGTTCCCCATATTAATAAATTTTCTTTCAGGCTTCTAGAGCCTCATGAAGTAGCTGAAATAATTTCTAGTTTTAAGTCCGATGCAAAAGGTACTGATGGGTTGAGCTTGTCTATGATTAAGCTCAGTCTGCCTGTTACTTTCATCTACGTCACCCACCTTGTTAATAGTTGCCTTGAAAGACGTTATTTCCCTGAAACGTGGGAGCGAGCAATTGTGGTACCAGTTCCAAAAAAATCAAATCCAGATGAGTTTGCTGATCTAAGGCCTATAAGCCTATTGCCTTGTTTATCGAAGGTAGTCGAAAAGGCAGCCCACATACAACTAATGCATTATGCAGAGGAACATATCATCCCATCTGATCAGTCTGCTTTTAGGAAATCTTTCAGTACTACTACTTCCGTCTTAAACTTAGTGGATAATATTATTAGAGCACTTGATAAAAAAATGGGCGTAGCAGTGATGTCAATAGATTATTCCAAGGCATTTGACAAAATAAATCATGAGTTGTTAATAGCAAAGTTGAAGTATTATGGCTTAGATCCAATTGCATTGAACTTTTTTCGAAATTATATATCAAATCGATCGCAGTGTGTATCAATCGAAAACAATAAATCTAGTTTTCTAGAAATCTCGTCTGGAGTACCCCAGGGGTCTGTTTTGGGTCCCTTGTTGTTTTTGATATATATTACTGATCTGCCTAAGGCTGTAAGTTTTTGTGAACTCCAGTCTTTTGCGGATGATACCCAACTGGTCCATTATTTTGATACTGATGATATGGAAATGGCACAGACATCAATAAACCATGATATTCAAAAAGTGTATGACTTCTCGAATAACCACAACCTGTCAATAAATCCCGGTAAATCCAGCCTGTTATTTTTTAATTATTAATTAATTAAAAGTCGATTAACTATTAAAATTGGATCTCAAAGACTGTACCCGGTTGACGAGGTTAAAATTCTTGGCGTGGTAATCGATTTCAAACTTAGATTCACCAGTCATGTTAAAAATCTTTTGAAGAAAACCTACTTGAGACTGAGATCACTATATGCCAATAAAGCAATTTTCAATTATAAGCTAAGGAAAAAGCTGTGTTCATCTTTGACTATGCCGATTTTCAACTACTGTGATATTTTATATTATCCGTGTCTCAATGTTGTTACTAGAAATCGGATTCAAATTGTGCAAAACAATTGTGCTAGGTTCATCTGCGGTTTAAGGCGCTTTGACCATGTTTCTGGTAGTCTTATTGAATTAAACTGGATGATAACAAAAAATATTGTCAAATATCATTACCTTGTTTTTATTCATAAACTAATACTTATGTCAAAACCTATATACTTAAGAGAAAAGCTGATCTTTAGGCGTAATATTCATCATAGACATATTAGATTTCCAGATTTGATAACTACACCTATTCACTCCACAACTTTATTCCAGCGTTCTTTCACGTACAGGGCTTCAGTGTTATACAATGCCTTGAGTCCTGAATTCAAAACCATGTCCTTAAATTGCTTCAAGAAAGCTGTCAAATCTCATATTTACTTGGAACCATAGTCTTAATTAGATTGCTATAGATATATTGTTAAATGATTCTTCACTTCCCTTGTGTACATGTAGCAAACCTTGGTGCAACATGTACGTATGTAATGTGTGTATATGTATGTATGTATGTATGTACATATGTATGTATATATGTATGTATGTACATGTGTATGTATATATGTATATTTTGTTTGATATCTGCTACTTAACAACTTGTTTTTTTTGCATGGGTGGTTAAGTGTAAGAGTAGCATGTTGCTAAACTTCGCCACCATATGCAACTCTTGTTTTTCTGTATGAAGTACAGTTTAAATAAAGACGATTATTATTATTATTATTATTATATGAAACTAACAATTCATGTAGTTGAGTTATTCCTCCATAGATGGACGCTCACAACGATCCTGGTGAGCAAACGTAGAATGACTGTTTGCACCCTAGTCTGCAAGGTGACATTTTATAGGTTTTTCTTTGACGTTTTATAAGTTTTTTACATAATGCCCGTGGCCAAGTTAATACCGTGCATTGGATGTTGTTTTGTGTGCTGTTTATATCCCGCACGTGGCTGAAATATTAACGGTAGGTACATTGGTACTATGGGGTCGACAAAAAGGGTCAAAGGTGGCCTAGTTGCCAGGTTTTGCATCCCCACCACCACCTCCAGCACTACTACTACTACTGCTAACTACTATTACTTACGAAATCACAAAACTGGTATGTTTTGTAATTTTTACGTTACAAAATGTTCATCCTGTCTGTCCGTTTTTTTACGTTACAAAATTTTCATCCTATCTATCCGTTGTCACTTTTATGAGTTGTAAGAATGATTCAAAATATTTCTACTGGACCTCAAAAGATTCCAAAAACACCTGGCTTCAAAAGTAACGCCCGAAAATATGTACAAAGTATGGTTTTATGAAATAATCGACAATTTTCATCCACACATCCAAAGAACCACGCTATTTCTTTATGGAAATCGGACTTCCGTTAAATTGGTAGAATTTCTGATATGTTGCATATCTCACCGTCCTAAACAAATGTCTCAATGAGCACAATCTCCCAAGTCCCATTTTTTGAGGTCAAGTACACCTTGGACCAAAGATGATCGGAAAGATACAAAAAACGAGGTTTAGAAGTAAATTTACATCAATTTTTAGTACACAAAATGCCAAAAATACTTTATCAAAAACTCATAGGGTTTGCTATACAGCACTTTAAGCGACATGATCTCGATGCATTGTTTTTAGCTACCAATGCTCCTGGAAGAAGTGCATATAACAGAGTAGAGCGCAGAATGGCTCCTCTTAGTCGGGAACTGGCTAGTTTAATATTGCCTCATAACGTGGCGTTACAATTGATGAACATTTAGAAAGATCTAATTTCGAATTTGCAGGAGATGTATTAGCTGAAGTATGGAGTTCAATGGAAATTGATGGCTATAATGTTAATGCAAAATATGTTGGGGCAGGTGAACAAGATCTTCCAGAATTTCCAGACATTAAATGGTATTCAGAACATATGCGTGAGAGCCAATACTTGCTTCTAGTTGTGAAATGTAAAATTACAGAATGCTGTCGTCCAAGAAGTGGCCTATTTAGATTACTAGACAATAGGTTTCTTCCACCACCTGTAAAAGTAAAACAAACAGTTGGTGACTTGGTTTTGGATGAAGGAGGCCAATTCCCTAATCTTCCTGTCAATTTAGCTCTACGATTATTTTTGTCCGACGGTAAAATTGAGGCTTTCAAGTCGAACATGCAAAACGTGTGGTCTTTATCATGTTTCCGTCAAGTCACTAAATCGTCACATCGAAAATATCCATAAAAAAGTAAACACGAACATTGATAGGAATGTTAGACCTGTAAGAGTCGCTGCTCGTCGTGCTAGTGAACTGATGTGCATTATTCAAAATTTAGAGCACCATGATGTTGAATGGCTCGATGAGAACGACGTAGACATTCCAAAATCCGATGAAAGCGAGCAAACTCACAACACTGAGCAGCAATCGAAGCAATCCAATGTCATCGAAAACTTAGATCATGGATTCGGGTTTCATGGACTGAATACTGTTAATTTGAATTTAATATAATGTACCAAAAATTTAAAATAAGTTTGTTATGTTAGTAAGATATAATATTTTTGTCCTTTACTCTATGTTGAATACAAGGGGGATGGGGGGTAAATAGTTGTAATAAATCTGCTTACGTAATACTTGAATGGCCCCTAAAGAAATTGCGTGGTTATTTGACATCCACATCAAAACTTGGGTATCAGATAAAATATTTGAATGGGTATTCTTGAATTCATTTGAAGGAAAAACTGCATATGAACTATGTCTTCAGACCTTAAGTAGAATATAAATTTATAGAGTTTTAGATTTGGTTTATCTCTCTCTCTCTCAACAAGAATTACTTTTTAGAATTCTTGACACGCTTCCAGATTTGTCTGTTTCTTGTTTTTAAGGATATGTTAAAAACCCTTGCTCGTTAGGAAAATCTTGTATGTCAGATTGGAAATTTCCCTTTTG